TTAAGGAATTGCATGTATTAATTTGTGTATTGTATTTCAGGAGAAATTAAAGTCATCTAATCACGCTAACGAAGGGCATTCATCTCTTGTAACGGAACAAATCATCGACAGAGCGCCGATTATAGTATCGACAAACAATCAAAGTGATGCGGCAACGAGCACCAAAGGCAAAGACATGTGCAAAAATAATAGAAGCGTTATAGTTCGAGCTGGAACGATATCGGTAAATGTTATCACGATATTATTTTGAACAAATGTTTTTTAGTATCAGTATTTATTATTTATTATTTTACAATTATTTTACATATTTATCATTTTACAATTTATTTTCTAAAAGGAATCAAATACGAGTAAAGTTGGTGCGCCAGAAATATTGGTTGTTCCAACCGTTGAAAGCCAAAACGTGTCCGAGGAAGTCGACCCGGCTGCAACAAGTCATGAGATATCTGCTCATGAAACTGTTGAAACAAGTCCGGTAGAATCTGCCAAACCGGTATCATCGATCGGGACGAATATCTCTCATAATATTTTGCTAGGACGATGGCGATTGTCGTTGGACTTGTTTGGACGAGTTTTTATGGAAGATGTAGGTTTAGAAGCTGGATCTGTAGTGTCCGAATTAGGAGGATTTCCCGTGAAGGAGGCTAAATTTCGCAGAGATATGGAAAAACTTAGAAATTCGCAACAAAAAGATATTACCATAAAGGTATGTAAAAAAAAGGTAACAACTTAAGCCAGCGGTACACGGAATATGTTTTCCTGCTGGACTGCTTGTGATCTAGTAAATTACTAGAAATCCTAGTGTTGAGTGGTGCAATTATAGTAATTTGACGTGTGTCACTGCATAAGAAATACTATGCACTGTATTAAATGTTTACGAATATATGCTATACAATAACCCAGGTAGTAGACTGACGTCAAATGACGTATTAATTCCGTCCTAAACGTCCTCTAACGTCATTAAGACGTCTTTAGACGTCATCTTGCTACCTGGGAAGCCTTAAGTACAAACTACTACATCACACAATTGACCGACAGGTCGAACGAGATAGAACACAGTTACTAGTGCAGACGATGAAGGAGTTAAATACGCAATATAACATATATAATAGAAGAGCTTCGAATACTCCACCTTTGGCAGTGAATCGCGTTAAAGTTTTTTTCAAGGATGAACCTGGCGAAGGAGCCGGTGTTACCCGCAGTTTTTACACGGCGATCGCAGAAGTTCGTAAAATCTAAAATATAAAATTAGCATCGAGTCGGTTTAGTCGTAAAAAGGTTTATACTATTTATTATTATTTTTTAGGCATTGCTCGCAAATGAGAAACTCCCAAATCTCGAAGCAGCGCAAGTAGGATCGAAGTATACGCAATACAACGTTTTGCAAAAACTGAAAAGCAGAGATCGTGACCGTGATCTTAGACGACAAGTATGTCACGTCAATGAATCAATGCAAGATGAGTCATTGATCTCTTATCACGTGATATTTGTTTTGATTTCAGAATACACGTTCTTCTGGAAAATGTCGCGAGACACGTCGCGCTTTATCTTTTGATGCTCGGTCTTTCCACCCTTCGAACGCGATTGAAGGGAATAATAGTTCAGCACCTGGTAGCTCGTCTAGCACTCATCCCTTGCCAATTAACCACCCGAATAACGATCACTTGACTATGCATCAGCAACAACTTGGCGATAGATTATATCCTAAGGTTCTGTGCGACATATACTTGTTAAAATATCTCAATTTTAAATTTGTTCCGCAAAGAGTGAAATTGTAAACTCGTTTATTTTGACTTGGTCTCTTTTATATTGCATGTATAATTATTAATTTGTTTATTGTAGGTGCACGCTTTACGACCAGCGTTGGCTGAAAAAATAACTGGCATGTTGCTGGAGCTGTCACCGGCCCAGTTATTGATGTTGCTCGCTTCGGAAGACGCTCTCCGACAGAAAGTGGACGAAGCGTTCGAATTGATTCATAGCCACACTCAAGATTTGACCAGCGAAATGCTGGATCTCGATGTATTTAGCTTAACCGAACGATGCGCAGCAAATAAGAAGAAAATGGAGAACAGCATTCTGGACGACACGGAGGATAATGCCCCGCTTTTCTATTCGCCTGGTAAACGCGGTTTTTATACGCCGAGGCAAGGCAGAGGCAGCTACGAACGGATAAATGCATTCAGGAACGTAGGCAGGTGAGTTCAATATATCTCTGTCGTGATGACACATCTTTCTCTTATGTAATTTCTTTTGTGCATATTTAAGTAAGAATTGAACTTCAAATTTGCTTATATTGTTCCCAGACTTATAGGACTATGCCTCTTACAAAACGAGCTTTGTCCACTATTTTTGAACCGCCACGTAATCAAATATATCCTAGGAAGGCCTATACGTTTCCATGATCTTGCATTCTTCGATTCTGTTATTTACGAGAGCTTGCGACAATTGGTCATTGATGCTGAAACGAAAGACAGTAACAGCTTGTTTTCTGCATTGGATCTTACATTCAGGTACAATTTTTTACTCTGTCTTTTCATCTCTTTTTTAAAATATTTTTATCAGGATAATCATACATGTACGCAACAATTGTAATATATACGTATATGCGCGCGCGCGTGTGTGTGTGTGTGTGCGTGTGTGTGCGTGTGCGCGCGCGTGCGTGTACGTGATGATCTTGTCTAATTTTCGTAATTCACATTAAGGCCATGGCACATAGAAAAACTTAAGCAGTAAGGAAATCAACGGTATGGATTCGCTACCGCTTAAAGCCGTGCCTTAAGTTCTTGACTGTGATTGGCTGATTTGCTTACTGCTTAAGTTTTACTGCTTAAGTTTTTCTATATGCTACGGCCTTTAAGCAGTAAAACTTAAGCAGTAAGGAAATCAACGGTATAGATTCGCTACCGCTTAGGGCCGTGCCTTAAGTTTTTTACTGTGATTGGCTGATTTGCTTACTACTCAAGTCTTACTGCTTAAGTTTTTCTATGTGCCCGAGCCTTTAAGATCTTCACGCAATTGTGATAACTTGATGTTTATTTGAGCTGTCAAAATATGATTTCCGATTAATTATAATTATTAGATATTAGAATTAATAAAATCATTAAACTTTTATTATATAATTTTTAATTGTATAATACATATGTACATATCTACATAAATGCAATTATATACGTACATACATACACATATAATTATATTAATATAATCAATGCCAATATGATTGACTTACTAAAAAATAATTAACTGTATCAATTGATGTAAAGAAGACATAATTTTTCATTGCATTTAAAAAAGTGCAGTTGCCCATTCATTATGTGCGTGTACAGACGGCGTCATTAATGCTTTCCTAGCTGTGTTCTAGGGATTTCTATAGTGCACGTTACATGTACCATGCCTTCAGGTGGAAGGCATTAATGACGCCGTTTGTACATAACTTATGCAAATGCATATTTCTAAAAAAAAAATGCAATTATAAGTTTTTTTATATTCTTATTTTTATAATTTTAATACTTTTATATACAGAATGAAGCGAGAGTGGAAATTGAATCTGATAGGAAAAATTATGGGTCCGCTTATTAAAAAAATATCGCTGACAAAATTATGTAAAAAGCGCATGCTCTTTATAAAAAGATTGTTATATACGTTACACTAATTTTTTATAATTATAAAACTTTGATACTTTAATTTTTTTTTTATTGAAAATGCTTCATTTTTGCTATATTTGAGGCATTTTCTTCAAATCCTGTACATATGACAATTTAAATGTCGAACGTTATTCCGCATTTTAGTATAGATTTGTGCCCCGAGGAAGGAGGTGGTTCGATCGAACTTATATCCAATGGTCGCGACGTGGAAGTAACTGCGAGCAATGTATATGATTATGTACGCAAATATGCAGAAGTTCGTATGATCAAGGTGCAAGAGAAAGCTTTGCATTCTATGCGCGAGGGAGTTTTTGATGTCCTTCCCGAAGGAGCGCTCGATGGTTTGACCTCGGAAGACTTAAGACTTCTTCTAAATGGAGTTGGCGACATCAACGTGTCAGTTCTAATATCGTATACATCGTTCAATGACGAATCCGGTGAATCGACAGAGAGACTAGTTAAATTTAAACGCTGGTTATGGTCCATCGTTGAAAAGATGTCACACGTGGAAAGGCAAGACTTGGTGAGAATTTTTTGCAGACCGCTTACTTTTTATTTTGTTGAAAACACGTTAATTTTTGTGAGCTGGAAATTCTGTTAACACTTACGCCCTCACTTATTGCAGGTATATTTCTGGACTGGCTCTCCAGCACTACCAGCGAGCGAGGATGGTTTTCAACCGATGCCGACCGTGACGATTCGGCCGGCGGACGACGCGCATCTACCAACCGCGAATACATGTATCTCCCGATTATACGTTCCACTGTACAGCTCCCGTCACGTCTTGCGACACAAACTACTTCTCGCTATTAAATCAAAGAACTTTGGATTTGTATGAACTTAGTTCTGTGACTATGCTTGTACGTGTACAAGATTAAGTCACGTTATTGATAATGATACAAAACCCGGAGTTGTACGTTGTTATTTTTTCCTCCCTTAGACACAATTTTTAACATTTATAAATTTATAAGGTGTAATTATGGATTATGATTTTCTTGATCCTGAAAAAAAATTTTCATCTTCATAAAGCTTTATGTTATATAAAGTGTCATACTTAGTCTCTCTCTTTCTCCCCCTTGCCTCTTTCCGCCTCTCTCTCTCTCCCTCCCCCCTCCCTCTCCCCTCTCTTTATAGCAAACAAATAAAATTTTTAAAAGCATACAGTGAAATTTTACTTGCCTATTTTAAATCTTAGTTTACATCTGTTTGTCTTTACACATATTCCGTTTGAATAGGTTTAACGACAGTCTACTTAATTTCGTTCACGTAATCTCAATTGCATATTCACATGTAACATTAAGATATATAACGTATCTCTTAAATCGTTAAAAAAATTACCAGAAATTTTCACAATCTTGATACAATTAAAAATTTTTATTAGGCATGTTTGAAATGTAAGATAAAATGACAGGAAGTTGCAGGTTTTCTTTATGTACACCAATAACTTTCTTGGATATTGATTCATTAATGTGTGTGGGGAAAGGGAATTACTCTATATATATATATTTGTGTGTATAATTTTAAAAATACCAGTTTACACACACATCAGATTATAAAATACGAAATTTGATAATTAAAAATGATAAGCGTTGGCAGAATTGATCATTAATATCTATTTCAGTCAATGCAAAAAGAGGTTGGAAAATTATTAAAAGTTAAAACATCACACACCACGCACACACGCACATCTCCCCCCCCCCCCCCCACACACACACACACAATATAAACGGTATCTCTCACAAATGTTGTTAAACATTCATCTTCGTTTATCTTGCCAAATATGTTTGATCAAAAAAATTTGTAATTTAAATTAAAACTAAATATTAAAACGACGGGAAAAGTAACCTAAGAATGTCAAGCTACCTATCCTGCCGTACCATTACTTTTCTTCAATGTAATTATTTTTTAATATTGAAATTTGTGTTTCCAATGTAAAATAATGTCAACTCTGTCACATTTAGCACTTAGTCTTGGCATCCATATATGTTTTACCCTCTGTCTAGAATCATAACAACACAGATGTCTTCAAAATGATTTATCATTTTGAAAAAAAGAAAAGGTTCGATTTACGATTTTAAATATATTTCCTAAACGGTAAACTGAAATAGTAAAAAATAATCCATTATATTTAGTTCACTTAAAAAAAGTGTCTAATGCTAATATATATTTATATATAATAAATCTCATTATTTATAAATTTCTAAAAATCGTAAAGTTATATACAATAATTATATTATCTATTATTTACTTGACAAAGTATCGATAGAAACTTATGTACAATGGTTACCTATTGACCACTTCCTGAATTGTTTTGGGGTAATTTTGCTGTCGACTGACTCAATTGAGCCAACGTTTCTGGAGTTGCATGTGCTTTTAATATTGAATTTTCCGCTTCCAATTGATTGATACGATCCATAAGCTCAGCTATCTTCTCTTTCAGTACCTCAACTTCTTCTCGTACCGCGAACATTAAATGACTTTTAACTAAATCCTAGAAAAAGATTACAATGCAGTTCATCGTTATCATCCACCTACGTTTACGAGCGGTAAATGGTTCTATTGCAGCGGTTTCTCACCATAGCCTGCTCAATCTTGTTATCAATCGCCACAGCGTTTGTCCCCGACATACTGCAATGTAGATTTATTCATATAGATTTATTCGTATGCAAGCGTACGAATAAAAAAAGGTATACGATCTAAGGAGCGATATGAAATGTTGAAAGTTTATTACGTATCCGTAACTTTGTAAGACGAGTGATTAATTTCTTTGTAAGTCTATTTCGAGTACCTTTCGTTATCTTCGAGAGTACGATGCTCATCGCTGCCCTGTGTAACTTCGGCCAATGACTCGAGGAGAGTTGCGTCGGCCGACTGAACAGTAGTAGCGTTAGGAACGATGCCGGAGATGGATTCTTGCTCCGGATCAGATTGGTGAAACGCGATGTTACCCTGCTGCAGACCACCCACGACATTCTGACAACCAGCCGTCACTTGTGTGATCTGCACCGGGGCATTACCGTTGGACGTTTGCGGTTGCATCTGCTGGGTCGAAGGTGTGATCACCTGCGATTGCACAGGCACTCCGGAGGGATGGATCGTCGACGTCTGTTGCGACGCCCCGGTCGTCTGAGGAACCTTGTGGATATTTTGTATGCCCTGTATCCCCTGTATGGCAGTCAATGGCTCGGAAATTTGCGTCATCTGTGGTTTTTGCGTCGGCAACGGCTGTTGACAGGAAGTTGCTTCTGATTGATGCTGCGTGACGAGAATATTTGGAGCCTGAGAGGTAGGAGCTGACGTTTGCTGAACCGTGGGCTGGCAAACATTCTGGACTGGCAAGGATTGATTCTGCGTGCTCACCGTTACGTAAGTTTCTTCCTTAGAGTGAGGTATACTGGGCTGAGGCGTCACTGCACTATTGCTAGTCTGTGTTATAATGGGGATAGAACCTTGGGGCATACTCTGAGGTTGTCCCAAGTTGCTAGGATGAGTGGCCTGTAAATTGGAAGGTAACGTAGAACCTTGACCGCCTTGCGACGGCTGTGGCGGCGGCTGTTGCTGTTGCGGCTGTTGCTGAGTAGCTATTGGCTGAGTCTGAGATTGAAAATATTGCGGGATTTGCTGCGCGGATGGCTGCTGCACTTTGGCCTGGGTCTGAACTTGTGTAGGATTATGCTGTACATTAGAAGGTATCGAATTATTTACCGTATAGTTTGTACTCGATACCGATTGCGCGGGGTTACTCGACACGGCGATCGACGGGTGCACCGTGTCCGGGTGAGACGATACCGGGCCATTAGCATCGATACCAATCCCTTTATCGTCAGTCACTACAGATTGCTTCGCAGCTTCCGGTATAACAATCCCACTATCGGTCACCCCATAAGATATGCACACTTCGTTCGGATCGGACACTTTTGGAGTACTGATGGCCGTCGGCTGATTAACGGACGTGTGATCCAGGTAATCCATGCAGGTCCAACGTCCTCTCTTAAAAGGCTCCGTGCTCTCGATTTTCACTACCTTGAATCTCTCGTTCCTGCCGTGGGAATGGACCTCGCGTAGATCGGCGTCCTGCTTATCGGTGACGGACGTAATGTCCAAAGTATTGATATTGCTATCATTTACCGAATTATTAACGTTGCCACCCTCCGAGGGTACGATGGCTAGACCGTATTGCGAGCTGGTGGGAATCACCGGGGCCGTGCTGAGGGCGGCGTTGCTTGTATTGAAGAACACGTCTTCCTTGGAGAACGTGTCCTCGGAATAGCTCGGCGTCTCGATATCGAGATCGGTGATGCGCGAGTGCTCCACGGAATTGTCCTCCGTGTGCGACTCGTCCAAATCGTCGTTGGAATCCTCGCCGGCGTCATTGCTCATGCGGCAGCCTACGGTGACGCTGGTTATTTGGAACGACGACGTTTTCTTCCGATTGCACTGATTGCCACTTGCAGCTTGCACGCTGCTCGGCGCGACAACCGGCTGATGATGCCTGTCTATCTCGCCCAGACGGATCGTCTCCGTGGTCGTGCGGTGCACGGGATTCGATATCTTCCTACTACCATCTAACAGCCTATGTGACTTTCTGTGCACATTATCTGCCATTATTATGAGCACTTAACATACGAGAAACACGATTGCTGCGTCCGTTTTCTCGCATGTTAGAATCAACATCGTCGTGCACGCGTTCCGGACTTTCAAATATCTTTTACTCTTACGCTCTTTCTCCCTCCCTCCCTCCCTCTCTCTCTCTCTCTCTCTCTCTATCTCACTCCCTCTTTCTTTCTTTCTTTCCTCTACCTCCTTATCTTGTCGATCCGATTTCAATGCGACCGATCGCAGTTGGCCGCACCACGCGCTCTCGCTCCTACGAAGAATACGGAGCAAGCACTCAAAGACATATTTCGTGTATGGTTGGATGTTCACAGTTCACCATTACATTAATCTCGAAAGAAAAAAAGCGCGTTTGCTCGAGCAATGTCCGTTCGTCCGTCCGTTGGTTTGTTCGGCTGCACTTTCGTGAAACAACGATGCCTTTACTCTCGCCAATGTCCACCTACTTGCCCGCCTGTTTGCTGCTACGACGACGACGACAACAACGACGACGATCACGTAGTCACGCTACTTATTCACCTCTCCTTTTCTATCGCGCGCTCTGCCCTCGCTTCTCTTCGCTAACAATCACGCCCCATTTAATCTCATTCGTTTAAAATTATTTGTCTCGTATCGTAACACGAGGCCCATCATCCATATCCTTTTTATACACGTTACACGTTATACACTGTGTAGTGAGTGGGCAGTTTAAAAATGGCTGCCGATTCATTCGCACGATTGCCACGAATTGTAACTAGACCATCCGCCACACGGCATCACCACGATTAGGCCCGGTCTACAATGGATGTCGTAAGTCGGAGTCGTAAGAAATTGACCAATCACAATCTATTATTCTCCTTGCGGTCGAAGAATAATGAACTGTGATTGGTCAATTTCTTACGACTCCGACTTCCGACATTTATTGTAGACCGGGCCTAATGCTAGGTCTACAATGCAAGTCGTAAAGTCGTGAGTCGTAAGAATTGACTAATCACAATCAAATTTGAGGAGAATAATCGACTGTAATTGGTCAATTCTTATGCTAGGTCTACAATGCGAGTCGTAAAGTCGTGAGTCGTAAGAATTGACCAATCACAGTCGATTATTCTCCTCAAATTCGATTGTGATTGGTCAATTCTTACGACTCGCGACTTTACGATTCGCATTGTAGACCTAGCATTAGGGTCAAAGCACATAACATGGCGTAGCGATATACGACGGTCGTAGTCCCCGACCTGACAGATCAGGATACGCCAAAGCTTGTGCGTTACTTACGTCCACGACTACGACTGTCATATGTGCTTTGGCCCTTACAACTCACGACTTTACGACTCGCATTGTAGACCTAGCATAAAGCCCCTTGCACAATGCTAGGCAACAGCATAGTATAACTAGGCTACGGTCAACGTGACGCTACAAATCCTTTGGAGCGTTCTTCTTCTTCTTCTTCTTTCTTGAAAGAAAAGAGAAGAGGAATGCTTCGAAGTATTTGCAGCGTCCACGTTGACCGTAGCCCTAGAGACCCTATAATAAGGGTGCCGTCCCATGGCGCGTATTGCGATACGCGCGTATCGGGC